TTGAAGCAGAAATATGCCATCGCGGCGAATAAGAGAAGCTGGTAAGATCGTTAGGAGCTGAATCGACATTGCTGGTGTTGCTGACTTACAATGATGACGATCATGCCAACCATGGTCTCTCGTCGCACAAACCAGGCGCCACAGATCAGAATGAGAATCGTCACAGGGATGGCAGCCACCGTAAGCGCGAATTCAATGTCCATGCTGGTCGAGGAGACCAAGACGAGGAACTGGACAGTAAAGCCCAAGAAGAAAAAGAAATCGAATTTCAAGAGAGCGATATAAATCTGATGCGCGACCAGTTAGTGTTGTTTATGGGGAGGTCGAACGAAGTACAAACCTGGTAGGTGAGGTAGCGACGCTTCATTCGCAGATCAGCACTGATATGCTTGTAGATGGTCCACGCAAACTCGTCGTAGAGCTTATAGGCGACAAACGTCATCAATAATGTTCCCAATGCCACAATGCATGGAATAATGATTAGGAACGGCTCGGACTGAGCCCAGACAACCGGACTGATCATGTTCATCAAGGCCAAGGTGGTGACCGCCTCTCGGATCTGTTTCACTTGAACAGCGCCGTAAATCAGAAGGCCAACATTGCAGATACACAATCCGATGATCTGAATTGTATTCTTCATGCGCAGGGCATCGTATACTAGCACAAGCTCGTAGAGGAAACCAAAACCATAGAGGGCGAGGAAAGTAGGGATAGTTTTCGAAGCGGGACTGTTGTTTGGGAGTTCTTGGATTTGGAAATTTGCGAAGATGTAACTAGATAAATGGCGACATTAATATTGATTTCCCGTGTTTCGCTAGGGATTTCATACCTCTCCAGGCCGAGTGTTACGATTGTTTGGACGAGTGTGACGATCGCAAAGGACCACGTCCAATGTGTATTTGGGAGATACATTCTGGGGTTATGGGTCGCAGGAGTGACGTTGGCGTATCCCTCTCTTGCGCGGAAGCCACCTCCTGGTCGTCGAAAGGCGGGATCAAAAGACCCCCCTAAAAGAGAAGCACGCGACCCGTGTGAAGGAATCTTGCCGAGTGGCTCCGTGGTGGAGCTCAGGTCGGCAGGGTGGTGAGGGAAAGACACGGTGACGGTGTGACCACCTGACGGTGGCTTTTCACTTTATGAGGGCCGGTGGGAAATAGGCCCGACACGGGGAGAAAGGGCAGATTGCAACACCCGGAGGCTCGTGTGTTTCTGTGGCTTGGCAATTTAGTTGGCAAGTTAGGATTCGTCAGGAGATGCAGGCAAGCCTCAACAGGGGCATTCGGCCGTCAGGCAGACTGCTCGAAGCAGAGGTGAATTAAAGATAGACGATTTCTCTTCTACTTCGTATGTTTGTAGTTTGTTGTTTGTTGTTTTTTTTAATCCCGCGGAGTTCCGAATCATCGGGCGGGGGAGTAGACGAAATGTGTTGGCAGCGATCGTATAATACAATGCAACCCTCGGGGGAGAAAAAAAAAAAAAAGGGGAGTAAGGAACGAGTGACAGGAGTTGAAGAAGGGAAAAAGAAGGCCAGGATTCGAGACGGGAGGAAAGTAGGGGTCTGGGGTTCAGAGTTGTCCACATACCATGGGGCGGGTCACACACACGCAGTATGCAGGGCTCCTACGATGGACTAGAGTCGCTCCGTAACGGTACGGAGTACTCCCGTACATGTACAAATTGGAACTGCTTACTACGATTCTAGACGCACTATAGAGACCCTAAACTGTCTCTCCAGCGACACAGCCGAGCTATTTTTTGCATTTCAACGCCTTTTTTCTCCTGAATCGGTGGGGTGGACCCATCGACATGCGACAGGTACCAAACTTAGTCGAGCCTAGACTCTTTTTTTTTTCTCTATGTATTTTACCTACATTTGTATGTAGGTGAACTGTACGGAATACTCGACTATTGTAAGTAAATATATACTCTTCTAGTTCGTTGAAGAGACTACATCCATGGGTGTATGTAGTTCTCGAGTCCCGTGGTTGCGCCCGGGGTTTCAACCAGATGCCCATGGCTTACTTAACCATATCAGTAACTACCTAACTAGTTAGTCCTAACTAGGTAAATGTCAACTTAACTTGTAACACCTGTTAATTAGTCTAAGCCACAATGAATCCCATCCCCGGAAAGAAAGCAATGTGGAGGTAAGGCTGTGACACAGAAGCTGCAATGCAATGTGGCTGAAGGTGGCTGAGACGTTTGAATGGCCCCTGAGGGTCATCCTTGGTTCATGTTTACACTACCTCGGTACTGAAATATAATTCCATGCTCTTATTTTCATGTCCAACCCTCTACGGGTGTATCTCTTTGTCGCCTCTTCACTCTCCTAAAACTACAAAATCCAGGTGCGTTTATGTCATTGGATCTCTGAAAACCGGCATTCACCGGTATCAGCCCTAATGCGCAAATGACACCTTGCGCCGATCAGATCCACACCCATCCTATTACTATTACATTCGGCCCAAGTCCATTCAAAATAATACATACCCAGATTGAGAGCAGAGGACTTGTGTAAAGTCCAAAAACTCTTGCCAAACCCAGTCGAGTTATTGAGACCAGTCCATGTTGATAACCATGGTCGCATGATTATCTCTGATACATGTTCCAGAACTAGCCGATAGCATACATAAACTGGTTGGCCCCAGTCATCCAGTGCTGGATCCGATCAATAGAAAGTTCCTCCATAGGTTCACCCTTCCAGTTCACTAGTTATTAAGCACCCAAGCCAATGTCTCATATATATATATATATGTTGTGCGTTGAGATCTAGCTCGCGCGGTTAGACGACCAACGAGCCAGTGGCTCATTCAGCCGGCGTCGGATATCTCGGCAAAGATAAGCTCGATAATGAAATTTATGAATGTCGGATTGATCTTGTTTCTATCTCTAATGTCTTGTAGGCCAAGGATTCTAAGAATGATGGAGAATATCCAACTCGCGAGTTGATCGTGCCTCTCTAGGACAGCAACCCGTTTGTAATACGATGTCTCAGGATAGCTAATAAAACCGCCAATAGCTACACCAATACCAAGAAACCTAATTTAGGGGGCTGTCCACTCTTATAAAGTCGGCTCATGACTGGCCTACAGTCGCATGTACAATACAATACCAAAAGCACCTCCGAAAGCCAAGACTAGCTATGGCATAAGGACCAGCATGGAAGCTCGTACCTCATATCGTAGATAATAGTTCGAGACAATGCCCAGGGTTCCCCAGCAAAGGCGTTCAACGATGATAATATATATTGATGGTATTAAAGTAAAAAGGAATATTATTGCACTATCGATTGTCTACTATATTACCATTACTCATGCAGCTTTTAATGACTAACCCGAAATATATCCAAACTGTTTGCTTTGATCTTGGCTTCGGCTGGGGGAATTTTGTGCCCGAGAGCTTGTGTGGTAACACGCATGGTATGTGCAGTGGACGAATCTTTGAGCGGAGTTGCAGACATGCAACATTAAAAGTGATCGGCGGTGCCTGAATAATTTTATTTCTTTCAACAGATTATTGTATATCAATTGATTCGAGCCTTTTAACGAAATTATAAAAAAATAGTACTAAATATGCAAAAAAGACAAAAAAATAGTTTCCCTGGGAATCGAACCCAGAACCTTTCCGGAACATATGCTAATCGCATTTGTTAACGGAAAATCATAACCGCTAGACCAGGAAACTGTTGGATGAACGCTCGGTCGCATAAGTGGCTGTTAAGTCAGTTCCCTGCCTATGGGCACGAAACTAACCATATCCCTGCAACGCGCCTTGGATTAACGCCACACAGGATTGGTACCGGAGTAACTAGCAGGCATTCATCAAAGACAACGATTTCATCGAGAACCCTGTTATCTCCTCATATTTCCCTTTTTGGTTTAAAGGGTCAATGTTATCGCAACCAGTCCGCGGGCTGTTCGTCTTTCCCCGCACTCCGATATGATATCGGCAAATCTCCAAGTCTATGTCCATTATCTAATGGGAACTGGAGATTCCAGATGGTATAAATAAGCGTAGGGTGCATGTTCACCATTATCAGCAACCTTCTATTATTCTGAAGCTGTCTGAGGCGACAACATGCTGTCTCTGTGGATCGGTGCTATCCTCCTTTGTGGATATATTGTCGTCCATGGACTCCTCTCGCCCTTGTCTACAATTCCGGGTCCGTGGTATACTCGATTTACAAGTTTGTGGATCAAGTATCAGGAGTTTACCGCAAACCGACGAGAATCAGTCCACCACTTGCACAAGATCTACGGTCCTGTCGTGCGGCTGAGCCCCAATGAAGTATCGTTTACCAGCCTGGATGCGATTAAAGAGATTTATGCTTCGGGGGGCAGTGGGTATGATAAGACCGAGTACTATGACCTTTTCAGGCAGTTCAAGATCAAGTAAGCCTTTGCACCAGAGAAATAGCTAGCAGAAGCTAACACAACACTCAGGACAATGTTTTCTACTTTATTGAAAGACGAGGTACTTACTCCCAACATAAAGTAAATATCCAGGTGCTAATAGCCACCAGCATAGCAAAAGAAAACGTATACTTGCCGACAGATATGCCATGACTAATATCATGAAAGAAAAGCCCATGGCCGTTATCCACGAACGGGCTATGGCGTTTATATCTAAGTGTGTCGAGGCTGGCCAGAAAAGTGTGGATGTATACGTGAGTTGCCAAAAACCTCACAGTATCCAACATAGGAAATGCTAATCCTCTCAGTCTTTACTTCACTGCTATGCCCTGGACTGTGTTACCCATTTCATGTTCAGTCCTGGCGGCCTCAGATCTCTCAACATAGCCAAAGACTTCGATATCATGCACGAACTAACCTACCACCAAAGTCTCCAGAGTACGCATTGCCCGATTTCTATACTCTAGCGACAAATACTAAAGCAAAACAGAAAACCTCCTGGAATACTACCTCCCTTCATTGGCACCCTATTTCCCAAAATACCTCCACGCCCGCAGCGCCCCAAAAGCAAACCAATACGTCATAGACATGGCCTCCCAAATCAACCTCGACGGCCACTCCCTAATGGAAAAGCTCAAGCGCAAAGAATCAAGCCTGGAACTAATGCAAGCCGCCGCAGAATGCAAAGACCACATGGCCGCCGGCATCGACACAACAGGCGATGGTCTGTGTTTCTTAATGTGGGAGCTCTCACAGCCTCAGAACCTCTGTTTCCAGCAACGTCTTTACAAAGAGCTCACCGCTGCACCGGCCAATGCACCCTTGGATAGCTACGTATATCTCGACGCTGTCATTAAAGAGGCGCTGCGGTGTGCGCCACCTATTCCGATGTCGTTGCCTCGCTATGTACCTGCTGGTGGGAGGGAGATTGATGGGTATGTCGTTCCGGAGCATACTATTGTTAGCTGTCAGCCTTATTCGGTGCATCGGATCAATAAGAGTGTCTTCCCTGAGCCTGATCGGTTCAATCCTGAGCGATGGCTTGTTGAGGAGGGGGCTACTGAGCGGAATAGGCTTTTCTTTTCCTTTGCTACGGGTGGGAGGGGGTGTACTGGGAAAAAGTGAGTTGGTTTCTTTCTTCTATTTACTGGCTAATTGCTGATACTGTCTAGTCTTGCGCTTGTTGAGATGAAGATGCTGCTTCGGGAAGTATATTCTCGTTATCGGACGGTGGTGGCTTCGGATATGACTGCTTCGATGAAGCTGGATGATCAGATTATCTCTTCGAGGCCCGAGGGGCAGAGCTGTAAGCTAGTCTTTGCGGCTGTAGAGTGATATTGGATGTCCTAGTTTCTATCCAAAATTGCCATAAATTCACCGAATCAAATGTGATAATCAGATTTTGATAGTAACTCTCGATAGAATAATAACGAATGATACCTAAAGGATGAGGCGAATGCGGGAATCTCCAATGCGGGGGAGGGGAAGATAAGACCTTTCTCTTCAACATTCCCAATTCGGTCAACACTCACATCTATCTAAAAACATCTATCTAAAACAGCACAACCTATCATCTAATCTGATCCAAACACATATCCAAAGACCATCCAGCTCTCACACCAAAATCCAACATGGCCATCAAACCCGACCAATCCAACTGTCGCTTCTCCAAGCGAATCTCATTCCGATGGATCTCAGGGCCAGCTGGGGAAACAACCGATACAATCGTGATGTCCGTGAAGGACTGGTACGTTGATCTGCGGATAGAAACGGAAACAGGCAAGATAGACTGGGCGATTGCCGGACAGAGGATCGTGGAAAGTCAGGAGCCTTGTAAGTGACCTATATCTGAAGGATATATTGTATTCAGCGAAACCAATATGGAAGACCCTCTAACCAACTCAATAGTGCGAGTGACCTTCTCCCATGAGCTCGACTCCCATAATGCATTTGAAACCATCGATTGTGGAACTTTCGTCCCCTTGCCAAACGGCGATGATCTCGAGATGGGGTCCATGCCTCGTCATGATCTTCCCGGCGCACCTGACAAGGAGTACGAGGAGGTATGGCGGGAGTTGCCATTCAGAAAGGGCCCCGAGGGGCCTGACAAAGGTCTTTCGTGGGTGCTGGAGTCGGATGATGGAGATCTCGACAGTGGGGAAGGAGAGGTGACGGTCACAAAGACTTTTATCGGTCGCATCTGGGGAACGTATCTAGCACTGAGCCAGGAGCAGACTCATACGCGACAGAAGACGCCATCTGGGGATTTGGTTGTTAAGAAGTCCGGTGCGGATGTTAGTGCCAGAAGGGAAGAATGGAGTTCGGGGTGGAGTGAGAAGTATTTGGTTGGGGAAGCTGCGGGTTCTTTGCCTTCTATGATGGTTGGGTTTGATGGAGAGGGAGAGGGATCTTGGAAGATACCCGGGGAGAAGGTGGAGGTTCAAGGGAAGAAGTATATCGTTCGGGCTTTCGAGCAAATCTAGAGGATGAGGGCTTTTTCGGTTATAAACTGCCATTGGATGGTTGCCATTAAATCTGAAAAAAAGTTATGAAGTCAAGTCACTCTTCCGAGGTATATATCCAGCCCAGACAATCACTCCGGGGTGAGTCAAGTAGCTTTAGCGCAGAATGACCAAATATTACTTATCACTCATATAGGAACTAATTTAGACAGGCCTGTCAATGCACAATTAATCTACCCAGCCAGTATATCCCGTCAGCGTTTGGACAGAGACACTGAGCAGAGCGTTCTGGGAGGCCGAAACCGAGAGTGTATGCCAGACTCAGCCACGAATTGTCCCGAACCAGCTTGGACAGTACAAAAAAAACGCCCTGCATCCAAGCTGACATAGAATAAACAGCACATCCAAACATAGTAGCATAGCTAGTTATAACCCAACTAACAACCTCGCTGCCCTATACCCCTCCCAAACGGGACAAGCGCATAGATGACTCATCCCACGTGACAGCAATATAAAACCCGCAAATCCACCCTCACCCGCCAAATTTCCCTTCTTCAAGCGCCATCCCCACCAATGCTGCGTTTCTTTGCTACACACGGCGAGCTCCCCAGCCCGTCCTCGCAGCTCTGGGTTCTGCCCAGAGCGGAGACCACTTGCAAATGAGAAATTCGGAGGAATCTTCAAACCCCAACCCGTGCCGTCGTTCGTTTTCGCGCGTCGGCGCCGGTCCTGCCCGTGAGGGCCTGGTGTGATCCTAGATCACTTCTTACCCACACTTGCACTTGACATCAGAAACATCGGGCGGAGGGGCGGGGCTTGTGGCAACTTGTTGTCATGGGTCTTGCTCCAAAGCCCCTGGGAGAGTCGGTGCGGAGATTGTGTGTGATGACACTTTAGTGCAATACGCAGCATACCTTGCTCTGTCTTCTCTTCGGAGGGATGGATGGTATCATTCGATTCCGATCATTCTGGTGGGAATGGCGCTTCACTCTTTTTTTCACAGGTCAGTTCTTGTTTCCTCCCTTAGTTTTTTTGGGGGGTGTCTGGGAAGAGTTTATTTTTTTTGGCGACCTTGCTGATTAGTGGGGTTGTGGACCTTACGAGGGTCATTAGGGTCCTTTGCCTACGGGCGCGTTAGGTTTTCGGGGTTAGTGTTGGGGATTTGTCGGGGCTTTATTCAGAGTGGTGGACACAATGAAATACTTTCATCTCATAAATTATATCTTTTTGCTAGCTGAATGGCCGGTGAAATATCCTAAGAATCGTCTTACACGTAGTGATGTTGGTAATCTATGATTCTAGGTGAAGGATGCATGTTTGGAAAAATTTGCGAGGTCGAAACCTCGACCGCTGAATGTGTAAATTATCGTGAACATCTTGTTTAAAACCCCTGTCAGGGATGTAGTGAAAGAACGTTTCCTCCAAGTTCTCTCCATTATCATCGAGCTTCATTTTTAGCATTGCCCATATCCCCTCGAACCACTGAATAATTCGTTTACTCTTCGTCACCGATCTGTGTGAAACCAGTTAGCTGGGTTTCCAATGATGTCGACCTTGGAACGATCAAGAACTTACCTTAGGAGCGAGGTAGAATCGCAGGTGGCCACTTCCGAGACCGTACTCAACGAGTAGCGGCACTTCCTGGGAGAGGTGAAGCACAACAGATGAGGACAGGTTGGAGGCCTTGCAGAAGTTGACAAGGTACTTGAGGGAGAAGGTCAGGGCGACGGGTTCGGAGAGGTTGATGACGACGTTCTGATCGGGCTTGTCGACGTTGGTGTGTTGGCGGATGGTGACGGATCCGTTACCGATATCACCCTGGCAGGAGAACTTGACACCCTCCTTGCTGGCCTCAATCACGACTACGAAAGAAGTTAGCATGACTGGATTTGTGTCTGCCAGCCGGGCTTGGGTATCGCCGCGGGAGGAAAGTTACTTACCTGACTCGGACAGCGCGTTGAGATCTCTGCAGATGCGCTGGAACTCGGAAGAAGGCATCTCCACGGTGGCAGCGTACTCAGTCTCGGGGATAGCCAGGTGCTCCTGGTCAATATCCATGAGCTTGATGTCATACTCGCTCAGTCGGTCTGTCTCTGCACTCTCGAACATCAGGTTGACGGCATCGGGTGAGTCCTCGGCCTTGAGGGTCAGGATGTCTTCATTCTGGGCGGCGCGGAGCACCTTGGTCAAGGAGAGCAGGTTGATGCCGAGGGCGATGTTACGGTCGCAGCGGTAGGGAGAGAAACCCTCGGCGCGGAGCAGCATGGAAACTAGGGCAACGTGCGAGTTGTCCATAGCCTGGAGAGCGATTCCAGAGTCATTGCAATCGAAGTTGCAGTCCTGGACGAGATCCTTGATGGCGTCGACGACCTAAACACAGCAGTGTTAGTAATTTGTCAATTGCCGAATTGGTTGAGTGGTATAGATCACATACGCGCTTCAGAAGGCTGGCCTGTTCCAGTCGTGCTTCCAACACTAGAGAGTGGGTTAATTTGTCGATTCTTCGCACACAACGATCTTTTCGATTTGGGGGTTGACCGACTTACTCTTGATGTGTGTGTGTATTTAAAACTGAGTCGTAAGGAAAAAGGAGGCGAGAGTGTGTCTTTTTGAAGATAAGATGGTGGTAGGGAGACGGGGAGAGTGAATTGGGTATGTATTTGAGTGAAGATGAAAGAGGCAGCAAGTCTAATATAAGGATCGCGTTAAGAGGGTGGGGAAGACGCGGTCGCGTTTGGCGATATGTCCCTTTTGGGTTAAGTTTGACGCCTCAGGCGGTAAGGCAACAAGGCCTCGTGCTAAATACATCCCCAACTAAGGGTTTGCCGATATAATGATTTACGAGTGGCATGGATATTAGAAGGATGATTCATTTGCAGAAGAGCCTGCTGTAATGTACAAATTGGAAAAGAAATTGATATCAATCCCACACTCAACGGAGGTGAATGCCGAAATAATTCGCCAGAAGACCACCTAGAGACGGACAAATAATAATGGCACAAAAGAAATAAGTAATAAGCAAAGTAGCAGGGTAGCAAAATAACAAGAAGTAATAGTCCTCGAATAAACAATAAAACACCGCTGTCGCCGGGCTCCGTCTATACATGTTGTGGGTATCAATTTGTGACTCCCAGCTGCTAGCGCTGGTTGAAGTCAAAGTTGTGCCGGATGGCGCAGACGAAAATAGAGGGATTCTGTAAAACGCATAAAGCATGAGACAGAGATGCAAACCTTGTCTTAGATGCTGGTAACTCGTTTCGCAGAGTTGTTTCCTGGTCGCTGCTTGATGACCATTTCCAATTCCTTAAGCATGTTAGTGCTGGCATCTACCTTTTCTCTGGCAATCGCCTGTCTGGCACGGTCTTCTCGTACACGTGCGAGACGCTCGTCTCTTGTCAAAGACACTCTCTTGTTTCTCGATGCCGGGAGTACAACAGCTTCGAAAATTTCCTCATCATCATAGGTCTGGGTCAGATCCGGCCGGCCCTCGCCAGTTAAGGCTTTCAGTGCATCCGTCGGGCTGCCCTCGACTGCCGTAGATCCTCCCAGGCTAGGGGTGGGGGACATGGGTAACAAGAAAGTACTTGGCGGTCGCGAGCGATCCCCGACGCTAAGGCGATCGTGTTGGTTTACCAGTGCGGCTCTTCCAACTTCCCACTCTTGGAGAAGAGCCCTAAGATCACTCCCAACCGAGTCATATTGTGCCAGGAGGGTGGCTTCAAAATCAGGGTCTGTGCGTTCTAGATTGGCATGTGACTCCTCGCTGGCAATGTGCATTTTAGCATGTAAGGCACGGACCCCTTGTGATAAAGAGTTGAGCCGTCTAAATTGAGCACGCAGGTGATCCTTGCTTGGCGAGGCGGAAGGTAATGGGGACGGAGGAATATTATCACCTGCGAATATTAGTCAACGTCTTTGTTTTATAAAACAGTGATCAGCACTCACGGTCCTCTTCGTTTAAAATGGTTGTCATTTTCAGCATGCCGTTGCCGGTCACCGCAGCAAGCTCACGCATTTCCTCAACAGCAGAACTCCACCGAGCAATATCGGAGCCACCACCATCGGCGCTGAGGGCCAGTAAGCAACACAACACGCTTTTTCTCACGCTGTAAAGTTTTCCAAACAGATCCCTCAGGGAGCGCAACGAGTACTGGTCCTCGTTGGTTCGCTGCGAAAGGGACGTCTCAATTGCTTCGAGTTCTTCCAGTCCAATGTCATAAATGTCGTAATATTTCGCAAGATCACCTTCATCAGTGAGCGGGCGCAAAGTATTCTGGGATTTAATATAGCGCTCGAGCATGGAGTAGAAGCATTCGGAAACCGCTCGGCGCAATCTCAAGCACCGTCGCGTTTGTACTACATCCTCCAGTCGACTGATGGGTGGCAGAGGAGTACTTCTGTGATATTGCGTTAGTCCCGTTATCATCTCGAACAAAAATTTCGCGCTCTTACATCCGATAACCTCTTGACACAAGTTCAACCTCCTGAATAAAGACCACGGAAGCCGACGCAGCCGAATCAAACCCTTGAGCATTTCCAATGAAGGTCCCAGCTGCTTCAACAGCCTGGTGCCGGAGATATTTCAACCACTGTCGTTTTGCAAAAGCATAGAAAAATATACCGACAGCGGGCACAAATACCAGAAGCACTCCAACTTTCTTGAGACTGAGCCCTGACCCAGTTCTTGAGCGGGTCCAGTGTAATAACCAAGCAATAGAGAAGGATGTGAGGGCTGTGACAATGGCGCCTTGAATTCCAAAAGTTGTAGATAGGGACGGGAGAGTTGAGGGTTGTTTTGCAGATAGGACATCTGCAGCGGATGTGTAGGAAGGAGCGCTGTGTTCGTTTAACAGTTGCGACGCGACAATAACGTAGCCAAATTGTTCCAAAAATCGTTCGTTGTCACTTCGTGCTAATCGGACGTTCAGGGCGGACTAGACGAGAAGAAGTTTTAGTATGATCCCGAGCCATCGGAGATGAGGGGTCGTACCGAGCAAGCGTCATATAGTTTCTTGACTAGTTCCCCCTGCGGTGTGCCTCGTAGATTGAGAGGCTTCGGCAACTTGTTTCGAATGCGATCCTGGAATTTGGAGGACCCCTGAGGGGCAAAGTTGAAGGTACGGGTATGATCATCGTCGCTTTGATTCTCCTCCACGGGCCAGCTCTCTTCGTTTCCACCCTCCCCTGTCACGGATGTCAGCGGGTTTGAATTCTCTGGGTATCTTGGACATAGCAAACCTTCCAAATATTCAGCCAAAGGCGAGTTCTCATACACGACTGATTCCATGTTGTGGGATCATGCCTCGGCGACAGGAAAGCGGAGAAGGTGGGCGAGTGGTGACGCAAGCAGGTGATAAGAACAGGCGCTTACAGACCCATGTCGCAGAAGTATAGGCGCCAGAGAGAGAAAGTATCGTAAATGTTGGAGGTTGAAAGTGCCTGGGGCCACGTTGAGCCACGTCCGGGGAAAGGAGGTCTCTCGGTCACGAGCTAATTTAGGCTTGACCCACTTACCTGTTCCTGGCGATGATGATTTTAATGAAAGTAAGGAGTCTGTTTAATTTAAAAGAGATTAGATACATAGAACTACGATGCACACTAGTTTTTCAGCCAATCTGATCAATGGAGACAAGGTTTACCATGTACATCGTGTTGATCTGGCCGTAAGCTGCATACAAGCGAGGCCTCCGCCAGTTTTATGCACATAATGATGAGTCATCCAACCAGCATAGATCAATGGATGACATCCACATACATCCATTTGGAGGGTAGATCAGCATCCATGCTTCTATAATGACGATCATGATTTTCCTTTGTTTTGCTTTCTAAAATGAACGACCGTTCCCTTCGGAACAGCTATAATGACAAGTTCTGCACCATAGCAATATATGCAAAAAGAGAGCTATCTATAATTCATCCGAAAATACAAACGTCTGATATTATATGAACCAGATCATCACAATCCTCATTATGTATAGACGGCACCCAAAGGACTGTTTAGATAAGACCGTAAACAAGCTTCAAGAAGGGGTGATGATGGATTACAATGATTGGACGATATATACCGCGGTACTCCGTGCATGTTTTACATCTACATGTTATTACAGGTGCGTCATTACATAGTGTATTGTGGCTATCAAGGGATAGCTAGATCGTCGATCAAAATCTGCGACTCTTCCGATATGACCGAAATGATGTTTTGCAGGACATCAGCTACGTCGTTATCCAGTCATGCGGAATTGCCCAAAGGTTCAGATTTACGGCTCTTACTCGGGGGTTTTCGGATCTTCACCAAGTTCTACTACGTACAAATCAGAAATTGTCCCTGGGCCAAGATCACAATTCTTAAGAGCGGGATTTCTAGACGTCATTAACCTTTTGCTCTAGATGCGAATGTATGTCAATGCTAACGACCACGAAGGATGGACGCCACTCTACATTGCAGCATCATGGAGAATATGCGATCCCCAAAACCTTTTTAGCCATTCTGCCTTAGACTCATTCTTACTAGTTATAACATGTCGGTGGATGATTTATCTCCAATCGAACAATTTTCCAAAGTTATACTAGCTAGAATTTATTAGAGCTAGCAGACTGAAGCTTCCCTCGGGACAATTGTTCATATACATTTTGAGGATATTACAACCTTTTTCTGACAAAGCATCTTCATCATCTTCCAAATTGCATCGGTACATTGGCCCCGTTCTATCTCCATCTAACTCATAGAGATGACCCGAACGCCTAGCCAGGCATATATAGTGATGGTCAACTTCAGTCTCGGCATCAGGTGGCTCAGAAGAGCCACTCAACGCGGCTTTGCGATATAATGAATCTAGCTCTGGTGAATTGTGTAGGTATTGTGTGCGGTCGGCTGCCATCATAAAACCATCAATAAAGGAGCCCGAGTCTACTTATTTTAGTTAATATATACCACACGGGGTAAAGTATATTACCTACCAATTTTTTTGGTGTCCAAAGTGTTACAAACGCAATGTAATATTGCGTAAAGACCGCAAGCGTTGTTTATAGTCTGTTTGAACCAGAAAATGCCTCCATTAGAAACGACGTGTTCGATTCTCTGCTCGGCATATATAGGACAGTCAGGTAGAATAAGGATCAATGCTTCGATAGGACTCTGGATATCGAAACGAATGTTGTCCAATTGATCGGCTTCTAGGGACCAAATATCAATAAATTTGAAAGACTTAGGAACGCCCATATTATGCATCAGGCTTGTGAAGACCTGAGGATCGGATTCCAGAGGAATGAAATGTTTTTCATACTCCATTTTGAGCCTTCCCGTTGGAATGATCGTGTGGAAAATCAAGGGGTACATAGCACAAAGGAAACAGATGACTTGCATATCATCACGTGATGGTTTATTCGCTATTATAAGAGCATTTAACTGCTATCTAGTTAGTTACATGTAGATACCTAGTATGTAAGCCAAAGATCACACAAACGGAGCATCCGATCTTCGATGCAGCGGCATATATACTAGGTGGGAGGCATGGAAAACAAAGGCCATGGAGGGCTACTGTGATCGGCTAAAAAGTCTTGTCAGTTTATAAAAGTAGATGTTTGAAGTTATATCCGTGAAATAATAATACTGAGCGTACCGAGTAGCAGATACTTGTGCCTCCCCGCGATTTCATTTTGAGACTAGCTCAAGTCTCTATCACCCGAATGGCCCCCTAATTAATAATCCTGAGCTCAGCTCAAATATAGCGGGTTTCTAGTGTCAATAGCCCTCTTTCATCATTTCTTATTCCCATTTCTCTCCTAGACTAGCCCTCGCACGGCTAATCCAATAGGGACCACTGATGAATGGTATTTTCCCGCGATGGGGAGCAGACATGTGGCCTGCCTGGTTTGCCGGGAGCGCAAAATCCGATGTGATGGTGGCCTGCCCAGCTGCCAGAGATGTATACGAAAGGGTCAAACGTGTGTATATCAAACCGAAAGAGAACGTGTGAACCTTGCAGATGCTCTGAAACAAATGAATGGTAGACTTCGTAAGTGGGATAACATCAAACCCGCGAGGTATCGGAGCTAACTGATCCCCCCGATCAGTTCAAGCAGAGGTTGCTTTAACTGCCCAGTCCAACAAAGACACAAGAAACGAAGTGCCATTCCCTTCAAATCCGATGACTTCGCTGGTTGACGAACGACTACTACCCATATCACTCTCTCCGATTGCTCCTCCCCAAAGTCTCGATTCCCTCAACTCGCCCTCGTTGAGTAACAACTTTTGTGTTGACCAGTCTGAATCTGCCCGGTTGTTTGGATCACCGATACATCCTTCCTTCTCAACTATTACCGGCACGCTCCTCCCTTCTATGGGAGCGAAAGACTGGGAACATCTTTCGTCTAATAATCATTTTGAGAGCGCTATTTCCGTACACACCTTTAATGTACCTGATACTTTTGCGGGCTTTGGCCAGCCGGCAGCCACCTCTAGTGACCCACGAGCCGATCCCGATCAATTTACTATCGCTCGTGATTTGGGTCAAGGTAGTCCGAATAGCACCTCAGATATATCAGCAGAGGTCATCTCGAGTTTGTGAGTTGTCCAAACTCGGATTCTTCACTAACCCCCTTCAAAAAGCATTGTATGGTTGACCGTTGTAAACCAGACAATACCGCTACTTTGATACTGTGCATATCGCATACCCGATGATGGACAAGTGGCGCTTCTTAGAGAAAATCAGTATGAACCAAATTAGCCCCGAGCTGACCTTTCTACAATATGCTATGTGTGCCCATGCGGCAGACCTTACTCGAGATCACGGCCAGGTCGCAAATACATGCTACCAACACGCACGCAAGTGTTTGCACCAGATCCAAGAGGATGGGCTAAAAAGTACTTTGCACGGACTTCCCGTCTTGCAGGCCTGTATTCTTGTAGCTCTTTATGAGGTCAAGCAATTAAATTGCCACCGTGCAGTTTCCAGCATCGGACTCGTCACTTGGCTTGTGAGGCAGTTATGGCTGCATGTCATTGATCGTAACCCAAATAGCCGTCCGCCCTTGCGGTGTCGCAGTCGTCTCAGTCCCACTAGCGACAACGTTGAGCTGGAAGAGAGAAGGCGAACGTTCTGGGTCGCGTACAATGTCGAGGCTTTTGCAAGTGTAATATATACCTTGTGTGTCTCTTCAGACCATTCAGAGGTTAGTGAGCACAATCAATATGAGGGCCATCTTACGGGTTTGTGCTGATGATCAATTCACCTTCAGATCCAAACCCATCTACCGTACTTAAACCCCCTCAGCGATGCGACAATACTACTCTCTGGCCAGCCTTTGAGCCTAATGGATCCCCCCAAGCTTGTCGAGGATGTATCGACTTCTTCCTTCAATGCACTCATCCTTTCTACCACCCTCGCCGCACTTTGCCTGCGACATGATGGCAAATCACAGCGACAAGACTCTTCTGACGCCTCGTTCGGCTACACCTTCTGGTCTGAGCACTTCCGCATTGACGAGATAATCAGGAATATCTCAGATCATACACTCAGCCAGCTAAACGAGCCTCGATATGCAGTCGATGCCAATGCATTCTTTGCCCTTATCACCCTCAAAACAACCACCATTCTCCTGCACCAGAGTGCCCTACAATATTCCCAAAAGAGTAGACTCATGGAGAAGTGCGTATTGGAAAGTCCCAGAAAATGCTTGAAGGCCGCTTTCGAGATCGCCGATGCTGTACGACAAGCACACAACTTTAACCCAGCCAAGGTAAGACCTTCCCCTTACTCTTTCGAATAATTGTCATAAAATCTAACTCAAACGAAGATGAACCCATTCATCGCTTGGCCCATCTTCACTGCAGCCCAGATTTTTGTTCGCGCTCTTCAACCATCAAATCCACTCTCCAATGTAGGCAGCTTCGGACCGCAAGCTCCGTCCTCGGGAGGCTCTTCTACCCCTCCAGTAGCCGCCCCATCTTCTTCGTCTAGTGGGAATAACACTTCACCAAGAAACATTGGCGCCTTGATGGACTCGCTACAAGTCCTTATGGTTTCGCTTTCCAGTATGAAGCTCCACGGGGGCTTGGCAGCGACATGCCTGGCGCACCTCAATCATGAGATAAATGGTGGTGAAGATGTCACGAACGAGAGTCCTGTCGGGAATATAGATTTCGAGTCTGCACTTCCGGAAGTAATGAGGAGTCCACGGTCATGAAATCATAGTTAAGGGGACTTTAAAAGCAGGTTGCTGGAGCTCTAAACATCACCTAAGCTCCTGTATGAATCTATCCCCAGATGTTGATGCGAATTGGCTTCGGATTTACTCAAAATATATTCGGAAATACCGCTGTGGTCATTGTATTAGGGTCCTTATTGGGGGACCTCAAGAAACTTCATATTTTACTCCAATAATTTAGAGCCTCAATTACTCTATGTTCTTGATAGCATAATATATCCATCTTACATGTCTTTAGGGTGGAATGCCTTCTTTTCGTTGCTATATTTTAGATTAATCAGAAAGACGGCACAAAAGGCCTATGATTACAAATAGAGGAATTACTGTAATTCAGAAAATGAACTGTTCGCCGGATGCTCTCTCAGCTTCAGTAAAGGGGACCAGCCTCGCTCCGGGGACCTTAACCCTAAATAAGTTTAGACTCGGCGAGAGCGGCCCGAGCTTTGTTCGGGCCGGCCCCGCGAACAGACTAGTAAAGAGAAACTCATTAGGACGATCTCTCGTAAATGGAAACAAATATGTAGCTCACAGTGCCTGGATTATCAACTCCTACCCGGGCTGAATAATTTTACCAGGATATATGACTATGCTGAATAATTATCGCGTAGATTGTTGGAGATGGTGCTCGGCGTGGGCGGCGCGAGTTGCTTTATATTGAGCTGCATTGCTTTTTTTTTTTCCTGCTTTCCATTCTCCTTCTCATCATTTTCTTAACAGTATTTTTATATCTCTTTGGTTAGTGAAACAACCACAAGCTAACAATGGCGGATGTTGAAGCTTCAGTGGAGAAGGCTTCTGTCAATGACGTTGCAGCTCAAGACGTTGAGAATGGGTCTGGGGGCTCGGTGACTCCTAAGGAGGAGCCATCATCGCCTCGCGATATTCATGGTGTAAAGGTAGGTCATTATTCTACTGATAGATGACAAAGGTAGGTCTGGCTGACCTGTTATCATAGTGGTTTATTGCAGTTTGTGCTATTTTGTCATCGACCTTTTTGTTCAGTTTGGATAACACTGTGGTATGTATTGTCCTAAAGCATAAGACCCAAATCTTGTACTAAGATCATCTACTAGGTCGCCGACGTTCAACCCAATATTGTCAATGACTTTGGCAGTGCCGAAAAATTGCCCTGGGTCGGCGCCGCGTTTGGGCTCGGCGCCACATCTATTCTTCCTTGGTGATTATTCCGTACTGTTTGTCAAGAACACGAGAGCTGAACATTGTGTGTAGGGGGAAGGCATATGGTGTCTTCAACATCAAATGGCTCTATTTGGGAACCGTCATCATCTTCGAGATTGGTAGTGCCATCTGCGGTGCTGCGAATAATATGACTGCATTGATCTTGGGTCGTGTCATTGCGTATGGTCTCAGCTTGTCTTCTTTTACCTTTAATGCTTGGCTAATAAGTTACAGTGGTGTCGGTGGGTCGGGCATGTATAGTGGCTGTCTCACATATCTCGCCATCACAACCACCCCAAATGAGCAGCCAATGCTCATGAGTCTGGTTGGGATGGTTTGGTATGTGCACCATTCTTCTCTCTCATATCATTTCAACTCACTAACCTCTCTCCAGGGCAGTGGGAACCGTCCTTGGTCCCGTAGTGGGAGGTGCCTTTGCTGATAGCTCTGCCACCTGGCGATGGGTGAGTACTATTCAACCCCCCGATAATGAAGACCACCGTCTAACAGAATAACAAGGCATTCTACATCAACCTGGTTATTGGCGCCATATTTGCCCCAGCCTACCTATTCTTCCTCCCTAACATCGACATGCAACGCAATACTCTGCTCGCGCAGAAGCTCAAACAAATAGATTGGCTTGGCCTCTTCTTCTTCTACGCAGGAATGGTCTGCTTGATTGTTGCAATCAACTTCGGTGGCAGCGTCTACTCCTGGAGCTCGGGCGCAGAGGTTGCCTTTTGGGTCGTCGGAGGTGTCTCCTGGATCATCTTCGGTCTAACCCAGCACTTCACTCCCTTCGTTCAGACGGCCCATCGACTATATCCCACGCAATTGATGCGTCGACCGCTCCTCCTCAACTTACAATTTCAGCTCTCCCTTTCTTCTGGTGTACTGCTGGTAATGACCCCTACCCTACTTGACCCATTCTCCTCCTTCCCTCGCCTTATCTTGCAATTCTCCAAACTAACAAAGAGATCTAGGGAGCCGCCTACTACATCCCCCTCTATTTCCAATTTGCCCAAGGTGACAGTGCTCTCCAAGCCGCCGTCCGTCTCCTCCCCTACATCATGATGGTCGCTGTTTTCGCCCTCATCAACGGCGCCCTAATGACAAAACTCGGTTACTACATGCCCTGGTACACATTTGGTGCAGCTTTGATACCCATCGGTTCTGCACTCATGTACACTGTTGATCTATCGACTAAGATTGGGAATGTTTACGGCTATACCGTCCTCATGGGTATTGGTGTTGGATCCTACGTCCACGCCACTTATCCTGTTGCCCAGAACCTCGTCAGTCCCGCGGAAATCCCCGACGTGATTTCGTTTATGAGCGTAGCTCAGTCGACGGGTATTACTGTTTTCTTGGCTATGATGGGGACGGTGTATAACAATATGGCGATTTTGAAGGTGCAGGCTGTCTTGCCCGATGCGACCAAAGCGGATGTTTTGGAGACTTTGACGGGGACGACTAGTGCTATTTTTGATAGCTTGGATGAGGCTGTTAGGAGTGATGTTATTGGGGCCATTATTCAGGCCATGAAGCAGGTTTGGTTGATTTTGACGGTGGCTGGTGCGTTGAGTTTTGTGCTGAGTTTCTTTTTGAGTAGAGATAGACTGTTTGGTAAGAGATAGATTGTGAGACGCTCAAAAGATGGAGTGAGTCTTTAGGGTATTCTATAGTCTTAATCAATGTGGCTTGGACTTCTAGCATCGTTGCTCGTCCAGCCTAGGTGTGTGTAACCTGTTAGTACGCTTTTCTGAATGCCTTATTCCCTTAAAGTTGATACCAAGTCTCTATCTTGCATGCCCTTCGGCGTTAGCTACCTGGAATTAGCTAACGCCCGAGGGCATTCTCTCGTTTTTGCTCTGACGTATGCGTGGTCTGTCGGTCGTTCTCAGTCGCGGTATTATTTTTTCTACATGTTTTTTCCCGCTACCTCTATCTCCTCTCTACATTCTATTATCTGGGAATATTGAATATTTATATTTTCTAAGTCACAGGGACAAACAAAATAAGCGCCGATAAAAGCCAAAAATAGGACTCGGGGATTTTCCCCTGTAGCTAGTTATTGTCCCTGAAGATAAACACCTGGTATATCAGGCAGCAATGCATGCCCTATCTGCCTGCATATGCTCGACAAAATGCAGCAGCCCCCACCTTCAATTGCAACTCTGCTTACTCCCGTCGCAAAGTCTCCCTAGGCATCCAGTGTTGACTAGCAAGAAACATGTCCCCTGCTAAAGTGTGGGAGCAGTCAGGATGGCAGGAATATCTGTCGGCTCGAAACTCTGGACTGCCATATCTCCCAGCTATCACGGAAGTCAGCAGCGAGGTGGTGCGAATACTTGGCGGAAATCCAGGTGATATGCAACTACAAGGAACCAATACGTATCTAGTCGGAAGCGGTCAGACACGGATTTTGATAGACACAGGACAGGTGAGTGACATTGACCATCCCAGTTCAACATTTGGAGACTAAACAAGGGAATCATATCGACAGGGGTGTTCAATCTGGCTCACAACTCTGGTCAAATATCTTGACCAACACCAATTGAGCATCTCCCAGGTACTGCTGACCCACTGGCATCCCGATCATACCGGTGGTCTCCCGGCGCTATTGGCTCAGTATCCACATCTGGCCGCGGCGGTCCACAAGGCTGACCCGGACCGGGGCCAACATTCAATTCGCGATGGACAGACTTTCACTGCTCAAGGAACCACGCTGCGAGCCTTGTTCACGCCCGGACATAGTCAAGATCACATGTGCTTTGTCTTGGAGGAAAGTGGCGCGATGTTCACAGGTGATAATGTGCTTGGACATGGAAGCAGCGTTGTTGTGGAAGAACTTGGCCGATACATGGAGAGCTTGCAAGCTATGACCCGAAGTGTGCGCAATGAAGATATAACAGTTGGATACCCCGGACACGGTGCCGTGATTGAAGACTTGCCAGCCAAACTCAGAGTCTGGAGCAGACACTGGGAATTGCGAGAAAAGAAAGTTTTGTCGGCGTTTATGAAGGGCAACGCAAAGACAAAGGCATCCTTGGCGACACGGGAGATCATTGCATGTATCTACGGGCCCGAGATGGAGACAATGGCAGGACCATTCATAGCTCAGGTTCTATCGAAACTAAACGACGAGGGGAAGGTTGGACTTGCTATCGCAGGGCAAGAGCAGAAGTGGTTTATGTTGTAAAATAACTTTGTTCATCGCCTAGTTAGAGTAGACGAGACCAATACATACCAGGATCACAAACATGTTCAACTCTTCAATGGCTGTGCTGAGCCGTAGGCTCTGATTTTATCCAAAATATCGATGGGGCTAAGGCCTAAAGTTCTCGAGTCAACCCGCATCCAACCAGTGCCGAGCTGGGTGGCGACTCTGTAATATCACCTTGGATCAACTGGATGTTCAAATTATTCAAGTCTTACATCGTCAAGTATAGAGGTCGGATAAGCGGCCGACTGTTCTTGTAACCCATTATTCTTAGTCGCAATGCTCCAAAGTGAGTGCAAAAGACCCCACATTGAAGAACGACATCTAGATCTATCCAAGCCAATGAGTAGCATCACTTGTAATTTGCTGCAATCTCTCCCGCAAGAAAGTAGCCATTCCTGGGAGAAGGCTCGCTGGCAGCTGGGATCCGTTTCCTAGAGTCTCCCTATTTAGGCCCCCACTCCCCATCATCATCCCCCGAAACGATTAATGAAGTCCATATATTGAACTATAGTCATATCCGACTTGAAGGATCTGCATTCGTAACAATGTACAGAAGAAGACTTGAGAGTGTACTCTCGCACGAAGGAGATAGGCATTTTGTAAAGCCTAGAGGGACTTGGTGAGATTACTGGCTTGCACTGGAGAGAGCATTCTATCTAGATCCGATCTCTTCCCTCTCCCTATTTCATCGGATACTTTGATACTGTCACGTGTTTACCCCCACGTGTTGCCCTGGACAACGGGTCCACAGGTCAACCCGTCCACAGGTCAACACGGGTCTTGTAGCAATCGACTGTTCCAGACACGCGATCCTCGATCTCTATTGATCTGATGCGCCACTATACAGTTGCCCAGGTGTCCGGGTTGTTGATAGCATCAATTCTCACCCCGCGTCTTCCCCGCGTTTGAGTCCATCCCTTGATTGACTTCACCGCTTCTCTGCACAACACCCTGGACAATCCCTCACTTTCAAAATAGTTGACCAAACTCTCGTTTCAATATGAAACCGCACTTTTTGTTAGGAAGCCTCGACATCAAAACGGATCTTCTCGACGAAGGTCCAACTCCATGCTCGCCGAGGCGCGAGTCTTCAAGACGATGCAATACAATATACATTCCATCCGATGACTCTCTCACTCCCACCATCTTCATGGGACTTTACGATTCACCTAGGCGGCAGACCAAAGACGTCATCCCACGTACCTCAGGCAATACTGAGATCAACGACTTCAAGTCACAGCTTGCTAGACCCCAGCCACAAAAGCCGTTGGCAAGATCTACATGGAGAGCTCCGCTCCAACAAAGCTTGAAAGTTCTCCAGGCAGGGGCAACAACAGTTGATGTCCCTGGAGCAGGTGGCGGCAAAGAAAACATCCCACCTGGGATTTCCATCAATGCCAACAACAAAAGCAAATTGGAAAGACATGCGCCGATATCCAAAATAGCCCGTCCAGCCGTGCAAAACACTGCCCCCAGAGCACGCATAACAACCAAGCCCAAAGAAGTGCGAAAATGGCCACTGACACGAGCGGCTCTCGGTGAAACTCAAGCGAATGCCGCCAAAGTCCCCCAAAAGATAGAACATTCACCACCGGCCGATAATGCTTGGGCCTCTGCCTTGAAACGTGCCTTCTCCGCCATCGTTATTCAACGGGCATGGCGTTCATTTAAAGAAAGACGAAATAAGCACGTGTATGATATCGCCACGATCAGGGTGGAGTTGGCATACGAGGTGATTACTCGATGGTGGCGTGGTGTCAAAGCCTGCAAGCTGCGAGAGCAGACAGAGCAGGTGAAGCTAAAGGAGCGCACTGAACAAACTCCGCGACGCAAATCTGCCGGTCAGAGATCGTCTGTTCGCCAGAGCCACCAAAATTCTGGCCGGCGGGGCATTCGGCGCCTCTAAGTGGCTTTTCTTTTCTTTCTCACTTTTCTGTTTTTGTTTTCTTATTTTCTTTGAATGATACCCCTACCGCGTTATGACAGGCAGGGAGTTCCTCCCCAAAGTGTTTCCTTTTTGGTCAGCGAATTACTTTAACACTTGAGCTGCCTAGTATGATGAAATGAACATATGCGAGCTTTGATATAAGTTGTTCTATGTTAATATAGCGAGTAACCGAGTAACTTGTAGGGATTAAAGTTATAACTAAGCAAACTATGTTTTCGATGACATAACATCCATAGATAGCATTTGTGTAAATTTAATGCATATATCGGTGTAAAGATATCCAGATCTATATCGTTGAATTCTGGGTAGCGAGAGCAGGCATACGATGTCATACCAGAACATAGAAAGTGTGCATACGCTCACGAAAACCCAGAAAACGAGATAGTTGAACTAAGCAGAAAGATAGCCTCATCCTTAACGTGTTCCTTGACCAATTCCTTTCTTAGCTCGAGGGCCTCCCCTATATCCATTTGCGTCGCAGACTCAGCACCAGCGCCATTGCCTTTGATCCAATCAGTTTGCTGGGGTGGAACGTTCCGCGTAGAGCAAAACCGGTAGGTCGGATCGACGAGAGACAAAGTGAGGAAGCGACAGTGGCCGGGCTTGGTCTTGTCCCGAAGCTGTAATGGGCCCATTTGGGGCTGGAAGGCGTTCGGGAAGGAGATCAGGCGGCCCGGAGGCATCTTCACCTCCCCGAGCTGTTGCCAGGCTGGAGCATAGTGAAAGGAGTCCTCGAATCCGAAAAGCCTTCCTATATACTTGACGTCCCATAAGGCATTCTTCAGGATTAGATCTTGATATCCCCCATCTGAAGACCCATCACTATGATCGGGGGCGACATCACTTTCGTCGTCGTCTGAATCCCCGGCGCCGATTCGGTCGTAGACTCGTAGACAAGCGCGTAGATGGCGTTAGCGACTATACGTTCGTTTGCATTTCCTTCGGTGTGCCAGTCCTCGCCGGGGAAGGATGGCGTCTCAGGGTCTAGCTCGATGCTGTGGATCCGGACGATAACCTGGAGGATTTTTTAGTCCTTGCTATCTGGAGTCGACAAAAAACACGAATATTTTCAGCATAGGCTCCATATACTTACTATACAATAATTACCGGCTAATGGCCCTATAGATCTCTAGGTCCATTCGAGTCTCCAGAGGAGACGAAGAAATACTAAGAAGTTGACGGATTATTTCACCCTATAGCTGGACAAACCCCATAACTAGACACCCTAAAACACCATAGTAAATGCAATATATTCCACATTTATAGCTCAACAACCATATGTTTATTCGATCTCCCCGTTTGTCGATAGTTATTGATAAGACTTATTAGCACTATATATCAATTTCATATATCAATTTCAAAGAGAGTAGAATACTATCTTACAGTTATTTCAAAAATTACCTAGAAATTATGTTCCTAAATCTAGAAATATATATATCGCAGTCTTAAAGATATGAACTTCCCCCAAACTCCCTAGGTATACTAGATATCACCCACAAAGCACTATGCTATAAGGAGAAGTCCCTATAGACCAGGGTTGTTGAGATATCATATTATAATATATCGTATTTACTATGGTGTTTTGCGTGTCTACCTAGTTATAGGGTTTATCCAGCTAGTTAACTATCATCTAACTACCTATTAAGTACAATCAAGTGATCACTAGGTAATGTAATCACCCTATACTGTGAGATACACAGTGAGTAGGACCCTGAGCGCCCTCATAAAGCGGCGGCACCCCGATCGGGAAATTCTCATCCGCGGCCTAAAATCTAGTACATACAGGTACATATGTACACAGTAAATAGGAACCAATTTGTTTTAGTCTCTTACTCTTCCAATGTTGTATTCGATGGCTATCGATTCTAGGCTGTAGAATTATCCAGCTGCACCTTGCCCAATGTTAGAGCTGCTTACCATACTTGACATCATGTTCCCAATGGCAACATCCCCGCCCCTTATGTATACATACTTCTTATTCGGACTATCGCAATCTCTTCCACTGTTTACAAAGCCTTGTTCTACCACTATAGTGTATGACACTATCTCGGTTATCCATAGTCAGGCTCAATTGAGCAGTGTTCTCCACAATTTCATGTCGAATAGTCTGTTGAGCAAGTTCACATGGTTCTAAACCACCCAAGTCGAAAATGGTTCGTCATTTGCCTTAACTCTAGATTTAACCTATTTGCCTCCGTCATTGGATAATTATATTTTAGAATATATTAGAATCCAATATATATTGCCCAGGTGTAGGTATACAGCCACCCGAGCCACCCATGATGTCATAGGGCGGACGCCTAAATATAACAATGCCCTTCTGCCACCTGTTACTTTTTGAATATTTACCACAATCTATACTCCTCTATATCGCATCCTTTTACGTTCAATTCGAACCTCGAGAAAAAAAAATCTCTTCAAAACCACTCAAACCTACCACAAAACTCAATCAAACCATCATGCCGTTCGAAAGCAATCAAGACAAAGGCGTCACCGGGGCTGCCAAATTCGTCACATCCACACTTGGAAACACAGTCGGCGGTGTCACCCGCACAGTGGGTGGAGTGGCAGGAACTGCCGGGCGAGGCATTGGCGATACCATCACAAGCGTGACAGGGAGTGCTGGCGAGCCAGTTGGAAATGCGCTCGGTAGTGCAAGCTCAGGTCTTGAGAACGGGGCGAAACGGGTGGCCGAGGGAACGGAAGATGCTGGGAAATGGAAATGAGGTGTTGGCTATGATTTTCTGAGTTTTATTTGGTGTATATGTATCTAGTTCGCTTCTGAGCACCGTCATCAATAGCCCAATATACCATGGCTTTGCACCTCGTCTTCACCCCGAATTCTGACCGTAGACTAATATACAATGTACATATACATGCTTGAACATGTGGAAGCTCTTGGGTAAAGCTAAGCTACGCTATTTCAAGAACTATATTAAGCTACCATTTTCTTGAAAATGCTCTCCCACACTTCCGCGGACGGTACCAAGCTATCATGGTCAGTGCCAGACACTACCTTCGAATCAAATTCAACTGCGCCCCTCGAGTCCTCAGCGCCCATCTGCCAGCACCTCTCAACATAAGCCTGGCCCTTCTTGCCGATCATGCTATCAGTCTCACCAAAGAATGCGTGAACTTTCAACGGCGCTCCATCTCGTCCTCTTTCGCGCTCTACCAACTCACGCACAAAGACCTCGTAGTCTTCACATTTGCCCCACGTGTTAGGCTCCTTTCGTAGACACTGCAGTGCCTCGCTATTAGAGCCAACCGTGTTCTCGGCGAACATACACTGCATCATCGAAGAGTCTATCTCCTTCTGCTGGTCTATGTCTACCCCGTAGTTCTTCGATATATAGAGACGATTCTTTGCCTGTTCATAGTCGCTGCTCGAGGGGAAAGAGGCAGTCAGATTGGCAATAATAGTTCCACTCGTCGCTGTTGCAGATCCATCCTTGACGAGAAAGAGGCGTGGGATATGATGCCAGAGCTTGAAGGCTGGGGTAGGGATGTATTGAGCCATTTTCATGGATGTACTGCCTGATTTGGCGGGGTCAACCCATGGCGCTGTTTATTGGTTAGATCACACACTTTCATGTTGGAAAGAACCCATCCAGCATAAAAAAAATGCGTATAAGGACTGCAACATACCTAGAAAGGAGATTGCTGGTTTCTCGGGATACAGAATATCCCGACAATAATACAGGGTATTAAGCAGATAGATGGTACCAGCACTATGCGACGCCAACGAAACATGCTGGATGCCTAGATGGGCCAAAAGCCGTGGGACGGTCTCAATCCAGGCAGACACTCGCTGCACCAGTGGCACTTCGGTGAAATTCCCCATTCCGGAACTACAGGCAATATAACATTAGTTCATATATATAAGAGGGCTGGGGAGCACCTACCGATCAACAACCAAAACGCGTACGCCGCATTTCTCGGCAATCGCGTGTAGACAGATTCCGATGTACCGGGATGAAAACATGCCCGGCATAAACAGAAGTGTTGGGGTAGTTCCACTCTCATTAGGCTCGCGGCCGTACTCGCCGTAAGTCACATTGAGGGGGCCATAGGTAGTTGACTCGATGGTCAAAGAGCGGTGGAAGCGGGAGTTAGAGACGAAAGAAGCGGCGAACGAGCGGGGGGAATTTGGGTCATATTCCATCGCTTAGACTGCCGAAATGGAAAGGCGATTAGAGGTAGAAAAAGTGAAGACTTTTCAGCTCGTATCGAGGGAGAGAATAAGCATCTCTCAAAGCGTAGATGTGGATGTGGCGGCCTAAGGCTGATAATTGTGTTTCAACCATTTTCTCTGTTTAATTTGTCCAAATTACCCGATGGATATCTACTGGCCCTTCATGTTAGTATAAACTTAGTTTGAATATATTTACATCTTGCGATAGAATATCTAAAGAGGACTGGCCGGCAATGACGGAAGTGGAAGTTTCCCCCTCAGCCTCATGGAATCCACGTGCACGAAGCATCAAAAACCTTCTAGGCTTCCAAGGTTCGCTTCATTCTATCTGACTCATCTCTTTTGACTCTGCCCTAAATGCCTTGAGAGTGTGCTAATATGAGCACTGTTGTATACTGGTAGACGAAAGGCGAGGCGTACTACTGACCGGGATGCACATATAGTCGTCCCTAGGGACAATATGGGGGTAATAATGAATAGTACTACCCAGAAATAGTGCTGCTAGATAAATAGGTTGTCTACTTAGTGCAATTTGTGAGTCAGATCAATGCGGTCCTCTAATTGTGGAGAGAATTCGTTAGTGAGTTCGGTAGGGTAAAGTATTGAATATTGCTGATACTATGATGCAAAATGATATTTCAAACAGTCATTCCACTCAAACACGGAATCTAATTATCCCGATGTCGAGAGAGAGGTGCATGACTCACGTTCTACAGTATCAAATCCAGGCACAGGGCAGGTTGGTGACTCATGAATAGCCATCAGAATGGCGCTAAAGGAATTTGTTCTATGGCATAAAGTCATTTTACGTGCAATCACATGAAATAGAAATACATGGAACGGTTTAATAATTCATACCAACGCGAATACATTGTATTTCGACCGTAATTCTGATTGCCAGTTTAGGAAGTGAGATATCACTATAGATGTGTTTTCCTACATTGTGAAATATCGAATCAGAAGACAACAGTCTGAATATCTTAATCCAATATTAGAGACCACAAGCGTCACCATTATGCCCTATGACTCCATTAACGAGATATCTGATATAAATCCCTGCTAACGCATATATTGCATCGTACGGCTGCAGCCCCAGCATAGATCTCCCACAGATCTACAAGAACAAATAAGACCCGATATTATCTTACCAATAAACATATGCAGTCTTCATCGCACGGCCATCTATTAATACGTTATATACCAAAGCTCTACGTGGTGCATCGTATGGGGCAATCACTGACGTATAGTATAGATCAACGTAGAATATCTCGGACGCAACCGCACCGGGAGTGCAGGGTCATGATCCAAGCACAACTTACCATAGCAACCAGTCATGCGTTTGATCACCGTGCGATGCCTATCTCCGTGATGTCACCAGTGCGGAGTGTCAAATGAGCATCTGAAACGTTTGTACGTTGGAAGTAAGTTAGAAGCTCAAGCCCCATTTCTGGAACCCATAGAGCGCATCGCTGATATGACATTAACTTCAGACAGACCTATTGTTGCAACCGCTGGAATCGCCTTCAAAGGGCCCCAGCTTAACACGGGCGTCATGTTGTACATGGATTGGCTGGCGACCGAGCGAATGACCGGGCGGAATATTGTAGGTTCTTGCGCGATTACGTCGGTCGGGTTTTGTCGCTCGAGAGCCCGCTGATAACCCCCACACTCTGCCGTTTTCGGTGATGGATATCTCCGTGGTTGGATGATTTGTGGTCGGAGTTATTGCGATAGACACGGTTGGAACTGCTGAAACTGGCGTTTCGTTTGCCCCTTTATACGATACTGTGTAAGCCGAATACAATATGGATATTGTAGATTTTCTGAATTCAACCCTATTTCGGACCCGAAACGTGTTTCAGCCCGTGTCATCTCGATGAACTCCTATTGAAATGATATCATCCCGCCTATATATAGAGATATATAGAGATATATAAAATTTCAATAATCGCCGTGTCATGCGCGAAGTGCGTCAAATTGTATCCTGGTCATTTGGACCGTATATGCGACCGTCATGATACCTGTAATGTGTGCGAGAGACTATCAGATGGTCATACTAGTTCTCCCGGGCTGCTGACGCCCAGGTGCGACCGTTTCCAGATTCCCCTATCCGTTCTGTGGTCTGCGGATTCAAGGGTTAATTATCCGACGGCATCCGACGCCGTGCTTTGAAGCGCACACGGGATTCCCACGCTGAACTGAATGGTGATTGGCATGTCGATTTACAGACACCCGATGATCAAACGCGAGCACCAACCATATTTTGCGGAGAGGTCCATGGGTGGCGGGTCCATGGCGCCGGGGGTGTGATGTTGGATTAGCAAACGCTTCCAGAAGATTTGTAAACTTCTGCTATGTTAGGGGGTGGCGATACATTGTACGCCGAAACTAAAATCTCAGAAATGTCGGGGCACATAGTTCGGTGTGCCTCGGACTTTGGTTGAAGAGCCCGGGCGCATCTGACGTGGATTCGCAGGGATGAACGCTTGTAGCGATGCAAGAGCCGCGCTATTCATAAACTGGCGAGTGCTGAGGCGTAATTCGGTGCTCTATGAGAGGTTGCTATATTTGTTCACGCAGGTCTCTGTATAGATACTTCGTACACCTGCAATAGAAGAAATGAAGGAACGCTGCAGTGTCGATCGTATCGTATTCCTAACGGTGAATTGTACATGTACATTGTACCTGAAGGCAAAATTCGTGTCAACCCAACATGCTCTGTACCAGGCACCCGAGTATCCAGGTAGTGCATAAACAGGCTTTCAACAGAGCTCAACATCGGACCGAGTCAAAATGCTAAGCCCTGTCGCCCGTCGATCCCGAGCCAGAATAACAGAGCACTGCCACTGTAACCCCTAACTCAACGCAGTCACTTGGTGCAACCGCTTGGCACAAACAATAGCACGTAAATAGGAGCGGTGCCAAGACTGTATTCCTGCACGCTCTTGGTGCCACCATGATCGCCATGATCGTCCTTGGCGAGCCCATTCCCCCATATTCCGTACATTGTACTCGATAACCGCAGTGCCGAGACCAGGATGAGCTCGTTTTTGAGACTTCACTATACGTAGCACGGTGCTTGGCATCGAGAGGGAATCCTATCATCGAGTGTATGGTTATCGAAGGGGTTTAGTGCCAAGATCTCTGCAAGAAAGGGGGTGTTCGTAAATAGAATCATTGAACCCGAAGCTCCTTTGTGGAGAACTAAGTCCCATTCTTTTCCTTCTCCCTTGCTCTTGCTACCCCGTATTGTCACCCCAGAAACTCTCATTGTTCTCCAGAACGGTTCCATACGACACCTCGAGTCGTACCGGGCGCATTCTGAAGATCCAATGCCCAGATCTTGGCAGTTCACTTCACCACGCGCTGCCGCCAAGCATTCCTCCGGCGAGGCCTAGAGTGACTGGCCAGCTCCTTGCACCCTGCACTGCCGGGTAGATCATTGATCTGTCCGTTCTACTTGTGTTGTCGAACAGGATTTTGTGACCCCCCAGGTTTATCTTGGCCGGGAGGTCATGAGGCTGATGTTTAGGCTGTCACGTTCCTTGGAGATGTGCTCAATGGAATTGGTATTCCCAGTGTGAGGCACGGTGTGGACTTGGCATTGGCATCCGAGTTTGATTCGGCAGTCGATTTCAAATGTTTGATATGGTGAAGACCTTGGGTATTGAGGGTATCGGAGGTATCCGGAGCCCAGGTAACGGTCCACACTGGAGATCCTGCACAGACCAACAATTGGTATCTGATCTATTAGTTCTTGTGCATTGTCTTTGTTGCGTGACACTTGTAGGGGTATCTTTTTGTCGGGGGAAAGATCCTTTGCCAAGATCACCGTCACATTCCCGTATAGAACAAAGAGAGAGCCTCTTTCCAAATTGGGATAGAGATTATTGGAATCAGGGTCAATTGCAGTCAATATATTGACAAGAATATCCAAAGTCAATTCGCAACTAGAAACATAAAACGCCTTAGCTTAGTAGCTGCATCTGGCACAGTGCAGCAAAAAGTGGAGAAAGATGAAAATGCCTCATACATAGTATATCCTGTACGGACAAATCCTCGGGATATTTCAACTATTTACCCGTCCCGCCTATCGCGCATACTGCATTGCAGCTTGCATCTGTCCAATCCCATTCATTGCTTTTCGACTCCACTTCCCCCGGTTGTGTTCCCGGTCAGTGGTATAATACACTTGCGCTTTAATTTGGGGTGAAGGGTAAAATCGCGAAACGAAGATCCCGCTCGTGTCATCCTCCGGAGTCCGTGTCCCCATGCACAGTTCACACCTTATTGCGCTAGACACACATACTTAGTTCGTTTATTTACACTTGGTTGGGGTAAGTGTTATAGAGCGGGTCAGATCGGTTGCTAATCGTCAATTGAGTGCCACGATGGTTGAGCGGAGAATGTCCATCCCATGCCACGAACACAACGCTACTACCAATGCAGTAGGTTATAGCCCTTTACATCAAACCATGCTCCCGAGGTCGTCCTCCCACACAAACTTCTTCGACTCCACCGGGATAACTTCTCCGTCGGAGGGATCGGGAGGGGTCTTCTTGGCCCATTCCTCAATCCCAACCATCTAGCGAGCATTGCCGCCCAGGGTTGGATCCCATAATTTCCCTTTCCCGTCGCGTGCGGAGAGAGAGCCCAATCCCAAGTCCTAAGGAGGGGTGGCCAAGGAAAAGGTTCTATTTTAACCTGCGATATCGTTGTCAGCGCGGGAACTTTTGTCCTACATGTACTCTGTACGGCGGACTTTGTAAAGACACTGGGTATGTTCGTATCCTTGTACAATTCTGGATACGATGTATAGTTTCAACCCCGTTTTTTGCGCCCCGGCTGCCTTCTCCTTATTTGGAAACTGAAGAGGTAACAGAAAAAAAATACACAGCGGATCGCTTTGTATGCAAAATCGCCGCTCGTCCGTAAACCATTATCCTTATCCTATGTACCTAAAACATAAACTAAACAAAGGAAGAAAGACTAAAAAAATGAAATGGAACCAAAAAAAAAGCAAACCGCGACAGAGGACAAATTATAAGCTGAACTCAATGGCTTCGATCTTTCCAGGGTAATGCCCGTTGCAAAACCGTTGCGTTGCTAACAAGCTTCTTCCACAATTCAATTTTAAACTGAGCCGATTGTCGCAGGTTCGAGGGCATGCAAATCTAGTGAGCTTGGATTGTGTTTACAGGGGTTATGCCTGCTTACACAGATAGACTGTGGGGGGGGATCGCCTCGGATTCTCGAAGCTTGTTGCGATCTAAACTGGGGGTTTATGACCCTACATGTTTGAGGGGTTGTGGCTGCAGTCTGCATATCTCCCACCAGAATGTCAGCCTCGGGCTTTTTAGTCACTAGTGGAGTTTTCAGGTTGGGAGTTTTTTATTGTCCGGGTTATGCGATATACTTTGGAGTCCGGTTTACGCAGCCGGTCAGCCGATCTAGGGCTGATGAGGGCTGACCGCTTTTCTTTGTCAACGTGGGAGTCGTAAGCTCGATGCAGGATTCGTGCTTGTCTATCTGTCATGGGGTAGAGAGTTTTTGCCTTTTGCTTTTTCTGGGTTTGATGACTAGTGTGGAGATGGAGGGAAACAAAGCCTGTTGAAACAACTCATTGTACTCTATGAGCTGTAGTGTAGATCGATTGTATGCCCAACTTGACGATCATGAACGCTTCGCCTCTGAATGACGAAGTAGTTGATGTCTAAATTTGGAGAGGAAGGCCATGCTGGCGAAGGAGCTTGGCATCCCTACAACATAGAGAATATGACTGCCTTTTTTGGCTTGGCACTGCAAGAACCAATAGAGATAATCAGTTCTATCTACAAATAATTGGAATGTACAGCCTGTTCGATGCGCTACGTTTATGTATACCAAGACTGATCTACCGGGAAGGAGCAGAGCCAAGAGTCTGTTTTGGGGTGCAGTTCGGAGGCCAGTGGATACAACTGTGTACTTGTGTACAAAACCTGTACGGCGTATAATCTAGACAATATGCAACGATCTAATTTACCTTAGACTCCTCTATCCGAGAAGATCCGACAGACTTGAGTCATGGAAGTAAGGCCAAGATGGAAGAGCGAGTAAATGACTAATATACATGTTACTCTACGTCAGAGAAAGTCTTCCGCATTAGGAGCAAGGGAAGAGAAATCAAATACCAAGCATTCAGGTATGACTGTAGGGCTCGGCGAAAACCGCCAAGGGCCCTGTTGTAGACAATAAAAAGCAGAAACCACGAAGCGCGTACGGCGTGTTTATAATTTCAGCTATCATTGTCATTACGAGTTTCGGTCGAGTAAGAGAATTGAAGGTGTTTTAACCCTGTTAGCTCTAGGGCAAGTTCGGCCAAGGCTGACGGGCTCGGCAGTGTTCAGGTACCCCAATCGAGGACTGGTAATTTCTTTTTCATACCATTTGCACTATGGGAATGGCCTCTGTAACTTGGATATTACCATACCAATACATCTTCAATCGAAAAAAATTACCTCCATTACCTCCAATGGTCTCCAATGGAGGTCTACAATGTACATGGATGGAACTGCAATATACAACATACGGTGAGGATATTATGGTCCATGGCAGGTTTTTACCATTTCATTGCGTTGGCAAGTGGATTCGCACAATCACGGAAAGTATTAAGAGAGGTTAGGTTTAACGGGGGGTTTTCAACAGAGAAAAAGAACCCTGAAACGGGTTTAGTCCCAGCACAAAATCCCTCATAGCAAGTCCGCGGCCAACTCCCAACAGACAATGGTCATCAAGGTCCACTTGAAATTGACCTCGATACTGTTCTTTATGCTACATTTAGTTTCTTTTTTTCTGAAACGAAGCATCAAATATAAATGTCGATCATGAATATAGAACAGCAATTTATAGTAATAAAGATTTACAATATAAAGAGACGAAACATCTATAGAAATGTAACCCATATACTTTGTATGGTACAATGTACAGTTTAATGCAAAAGTGGCAAGACACTCCGTCAAATATGTTACAGTCGGGTCTCCAGGGCTCAGGGCTGTTCAGCACGGCCCTAGTAATAAAAACGGATATTGTAAGGCAAAATTGAGAAAATGGGGGTGATGGGGGTGATGGGGGTGATTGGGGGTTGGTTAGAAGAGAAAAAAGGAAAATAAAAAAACAGGAAATCGAAAAAGGTTAGGGAAATTAGTTAAATTACCAAAAAAGAACGGAAAATTGAAATTTTAAAAAACGTGGGAAAAGAAAATTTAAAAAACAAGGCTAGTCCTAATGCGACAGTGCCGGGCTGCCGTATCGTCACTCTCTCTTCTTCCCCCCTCCAAGACATCGACCCCTGCACTTCTACTTGCGCGATCTTCTTATGTTATTATTGTCAACCTTTCCCCAAACTTCTCCTTGTTTTTACTCTTTATAATCTCCACTCCACTTCTCGTTCTGACCTCGACATTCCTGCACTTTGCTTTTTTCCTTTTATATCGATCTCTCTGAAAGCACGGACCTTCAAGCCGGAGGTATTCGAGATCTAGTTTTCAGACATTGAGTTGCCATTCTTAGGCACAATTATCGATCTTGGCGAATACCCTCCTTCGTCTCGAAACCCCCTAGTCATGCGGTTTATATCATGACAATCGTCCTCGCTCGGGACATCTTGTTCTGCCTTTGTGGTCGATCGATTTAACATTGATCGATATCAAGACAGCATTTGTTGAAGGACCTCATATCTTTCAAGCACCGTCCTAACCTCGCCTTCAACACGATCCTACACCACTCGCCTCAACCCTCATCCTCCTTTTCATACTTTGGAACTATACCGCGAACCCTTTTTCCCCTTTGAAACATGGCACAGTCTCATGGCGGAGAAAGAACGTTTTCTTTTCATAACCTATTGAAGATGCTCATGTCATCGAACACGTCCCCCAAACCGGCAAACGACGAGGCCGACTTGGCCGAGGACGTCGACGAACCCCCTGAACACGACATGCACGCTACCCAGATGAATTCCGAACAGATTATGCTTGCTCGGCCATCGGTGAACCGCCAGGAATCACTGCTCACGCGCGCGTTGCGGAGCAGCCCGGAGATGTCCCCAACCGATCCACACGCCCCCCACTACGACTCCTACCTGTACCGATCCTACCCTCATAGCAACATCAGTGGCGTCTCAACGGCCGAGCTGACCAGCGACGGCGGCCTCACAAGTCCATCCTTGTCTAATACTCCCAGCCCGCCTTTGCCACCTCAGATGATGAGAAATGCTGCGTTGGTGGAAAAGAAGAATTCGACCCCTAAAGTCAAGGTCGTTGATGCCAGTGAAACTTCCGTCGAGGCTAACCTTGGCCGCAAACGATGCATTAGCTTCGCTTGTGGTCGTAAAACTGGTGACCAGAATGAGCGGAGTTCTCCCATCTCACCTTCTGCATCACAAGAACTCCCACCCAAGGCCGAAGCACAGAAGGAGCTTCCCATAGAGGAACCCTTGATTCAACTCAAACGCAAAAGCACACTTACTTTCGTGTGCCCTGGACGGGAGACCGCTTCAAACAGCCAGAGGGAGCGATCTCCGGCACGCAAAGTCTCCATCCGGCCGCGATGCCGTGGATCCCCTGCACCTGCTGCTCGCAGAGCCTCTCCCACCTTGAAGGAAAACCCCAAGGAGGTTTCCAAAGTGGTTTCCAAGGAGGCTGTCTCTGCGTCTACAGACCACAAGGGTGTCCCGACCAGTGGACTGGGCAAGTTCGAGGAATCCGAAGCCACCCGGTTCCACGAGTTTGCCAGCTCCATGGACGAAGACGATGAATGGGTGAACAGGGAGGCCGACTATACGGAAAAGATCACTTTAAATGACTGTATGAAGAAAGAAATGGCCATCCGACGGCTCGGTGAACAGGCAGAAGAGGAAGCATTGGAGGAGGAGGAAGATATGGATGACATCCTTGACGACGACTCGACTGTGCACGACTTCTCTTCAGATGAGGGCAATGAATCGGACAACGAGGCTGGCTTCGCTGAGTCGGACGAGAGCGACGACGATGGTTCTGATATCGAGTTTTGGGGATCATCACACCGTGTCCAAGAACCAACCAGTCAACCCATCGATACACGCCCCTCAACCATGGGACGCCGCGCCTCGAACACGTCTTTCGACTCAATGACGGACGATCACTTGAACTGGCTTCCAGCCCCCGTGCAAAAGATCGGTACCCGTCGCGCTTCGAAGACCTCCAAGAGCATAAATATTCGTTCGAGGACCCCGAACCTTCCCGACAGTACCGACTTTGTCTGTGGAACTCTCGACGAGGATCGTCCCCTCGAACTTGCCTACAAAACTTGTCTCGAAGAACGGCGCCGCCTAAAAGAAGTTATCATCCCCCAAGATATCGACCCTAGCTTCCCCACCAGCGATCCCGAGGACGACGAAGACCTTGAACCCTCTGAGGAACAGCTTTCCAGCGTGCCCTCCGCCATAGGTCGCCGTGAGGAAATTACCCGAGGACGGCCAGAGGGCGAGGCTCGCAAGAACTCACCCCGCCACTCTCCCAGACGTTTGATGTCCCCACCACCCCGTCGCACTGGGCGTGTTTCTCCCAAGCGTCTCAAGTCTCCGCCCCCACGCGTGAGAGCCAAGTCGCCCACCCCAGCCAAGTGGCAATTCACTGAGGAAATGCACATCGTTGAGTCCCCCGAAGGTCTAAACATCAGCCACCTGGTTCAGCGCCGGCCTCTCGTCCGTACCAAGTCACTTCCCCGTGACCCCAATCCTTTCTTCACCGGCCTGGACAAAGATCACCGATGGCAAAGTATCCCGGCATTCTCTGAGTCCCCAGAGGATGAGCACTCACATACCCGTGAGCAACTACACACTCGTGGCCCAGTCGACATTGTCGAAGGGCTCGAGAAAAAGCGCCAGAAACGCAAAGAAAAGTTCTGGCGTCAACACTGCCGCAAAGCTGCCAAAGAGCAGATGGGCAAACGGCCTGTTCCAGGCCATGGAGCCGAACGGATGAAGGAGCTTGGCCTCGAAGTTGCTGAGAGGTGCAGAGCTTACGGCGTCGGTCAAGACGCCCAGCTCGTCCTATCCGTTTAGGCATCCCTACCCATATGGAACTTGTATGAAAAAGTTTCACCCCCTCCGTTTGTTTTTTACCTGTACATACCTACTTTTTTTGTCACCTTTTTGGTTTCGGGGTTATTTTGTCTTACCCTGCTCGGTTAGCGATCCGAGTGCCTTTCGCTTTCTTACACATATTAGCCGACTTTGTGTTGTCCACATGAATGGTTTCTTTACCCTTATCCCTTTCCCCCCTTTTTCTTCAATAATTCCTACACGGAGGTGGTTCTTTCTTTGCATTTTCTGTCGGAAGTACATCTATATCCTTTCTTTTCCCTCTTTTCCTATACTGCGGTCCTCGGGACTTGCTGGAGGTCGCTTCCTTTGTTGTCTTGCATGGCTGCGGTGCATATACCCCCTATCTGGCTTTTCTGCATTGTGAATAAAGAGATCCATCAGTTTGATGGGAGTGAATATGAAATATGTTAGATGAATCTCTTCCTATAGTAGATTTCTATAGTAGATGGTAACAGTAAACCACGAGGTCGAGTAGTGGCAAGTCTTTGCCACGATGAGCAAGATAGAAGTACGCAGCTATGATCAAAATCCCCCAATCACAAGAATCTACAAAGTTGTCCATACCCAAATTACCCAAATCAGCCCATCTCCACCAAGTCGGAGCTTATCGCGCGAGGATTCCGTCTTCCTGCCTAAGGCACCAAATCCCCGAAAACAACATCAAACCTGTCTTCTTGGCTTCTATCTCTTCCCCCCCCCCCCCCCGTTCATCAACCTCTCCCCAATCAGCTCGTCACTGATAATCTGTGTTCTCTACTCACCTTCTTCTGCATTACTTCCTGACTCCGACCTTTCACCATGTGGATCGTCAACTGGTGTAAGTACCCTCCCGATACCACACCCGATCACTTGCGGTCACCGTCCGGGGCCGATCTCAAACACGAAGGGAGAGAGAACGAGATGTCTCTCTGGACAGTCTAGCTGCACTGGGACTGAAAATATCTTCATTCCGACTCCGATGTCGATTCATGCGACGGCTGTGGCGCAGTACCGGCTGTTGTGATCGAGATGTGCGTTTCGAGGTACAAGGTGCGCAATTTACTAATTTCGCTTTTTCATCCTATAGTCTACGATGTCCTAGCCTCGTTAGGTCTCCTCAATAAGCACGCGAAGCTTCTGTTCCTCGGTCTGGACAATGCCGGCAAGACGACGCTGTTGCACATGTTGAAGGTGAGTTGAGTGTTAGTGTTTAGTTTGGAGAGAGAAGAGACAGCTATTTGGTGTTCAATTCCGCTGGCTACAAATCTAGAAGTCTGGTTGCGCTGGGTTGCCGCACTGACCTGGGAAAGATATGGGAACTGCGCGTTGTATAGACTTGTTTACTGACAGTGGCATCCAATAGAACGACCGTGTCGCCGTCCTGCAACCTACCGCACACCCCACCTCCGAGGAGTTGGCCATCGGTAACAACCGCTTCACGACCTTCGATCTCGGTGGTCACCAGCAGGGTGAGTAACACTCTCAATGGGGGAATTGTGATGTTGCGCAAGCATAGTGCCAAGCAACATAACACCCCCTCCACAGTGAATCTTAAGATCGAACACAACTAACGAATATACATTTTTCCTTCAGCCCGCCGTCTCTGGAAGGACTACTTCCCCGAAGTGAGCGGAATCGTCTTCTTGGTTGATGCCAAGGATTACGAGCGCTTCCCCGAATCCAAGGCTGAGCTCGACGCTCTCCTCGCCATGGAGGAGCTCTCTAAGGTTCCCTTCCTCGTTCTCGGAAACAAGATCGATCACCCCGATGCTGTCAGCGAGGATGAGCTGCGCCACCAGCTCGGTCTTTACCAGACCACTGGTAAGGGCAAGGTCCCTCTTGAGGGTATCCGTCCTATCGAGGTGTTCATGTGCAGTGTTGTTATGAGACAGGGTGAGTTTCATCAATTCCGAGCCTTGGCGTTGGATATACAATGGAAATGCGGGGCCGTGGCTAGCCCACACATTGAAAAACGATTATAACTAACTTTTCTCCTTTCACAGGATACGGCGAGGGCATCAGATGGTTGTCTCAATACGTTTAAACAGAGTGCTCCCTGTTCCCCCGACAAACCGATCTCCCTCTCCAACCTGTCAGCTTCAAATCCACACTCATTCCACTCGACTAAGATTCCAAGTGAAATGAAAATGGCTTTGGTTTTGGCGTCGGCTTCGGGCTTTCTCCAACATCACTATACACCCGAAATCTCACTCCCATACTCCTCACCTCCCAGAAACCCAATCCATATTTACCCCCGGACGTACCTGTATGTCTTGAATGTGTTACTCGACAACGCTCTTCCGCGCTCATCTTGCCATGTTTGTTCAATTCTTGCTCCTTTTGTTCTGCGCCTTTTTGCTCGAGCTAGCTAGCTGGTTTTTCCTGGCAAAGACTTGAATCTATATCTTCTTTCTTGGTATAAAGCATAGGGATGGTGTATTACAACCTACAAATTGTGCTCAGTGATGAAATCACATGACTGATATTCGCTACCCAAATTCCTTACGGTCATCTCCTATACTATACAAATTGTCCACGATTATTCTTCCGTCGTGGCTACAGGTAAGACGAGACTACCACCCCTGAGTTTCCCAAATTGTCTCTGCAATTTCCACGAGTTGTCCTTGTGAGAACTCAATATCTCTCTCCCCGCGTTCTGGCGGACGACAGAAGAGACTTTCGAACGGGATGATGAAAGGATGATGAGTGACATTGAGGTGATCCCCTTTTTTAGTGATGTAGGTGACATCGGAGCGGTGACTTCTACCCTGCTGTCTTTCCCATTTTTCAATGCAAATTTCCGGACGGGACTTGTGAATCTGGGGTGTTAAGCATAGATAGTTGGCATTGCGCTCGTTAGGGTTAAGCCAAAATCAGACATCTGAATTCAATTTCGAGTCTGACACCTTCGAGTCCGAATCTAAGTATGCAACCTCGAGAGTAACAGAGGGCGAATCAAAGGGTGCATCAGGGTCATGACACGCTCTCCTTCTCGGGCCCTAGCCGTGGCCAGGCTGTTTACCCCGGGCATCTCTTCTATTGGTTCCGCCTGGGTAGCCTTGGATAGTATAGTATAGTCCCATTGGTCTCAAAGAGTCCCTAAGCACAGCACCTATAGTATCAGCTGCTGCACTATGCGGTTTTGGAGGCATGGTGATTCGAAAAAGCCGTTCTTTGGTATCGAATGAAGAGCACAGTTTGGCGATGGGTGTCTCTTGATCTGGATTGAAAAGGGATTCGATGGTTTCTTTACTTGCGTGGAAAAGGTTGAATTCGCTGTTTGTTGAGGATTTGGATTCGAAGATGTCATAAAATTGTTGTTCTCCATGGTACATCGAAATCAAGGTAGCTGCTATCATCCATGTTGTCTTGCTTTATGGTGATACTGAAAGAGCCAAAGTTTAACGAATCTCAGTTTGGAGTACTTGACACTTGAGCAAAAGAACATCAGCCAGTGGAGGATAATGGGTTATAATATACCTACTTCATAATGACACAATCACTCATGCTGTCTTTAATAGCCCTTTGATTAGTCTTCTCAGTAGTCTTGGATATTCTTTTTAAATGTCTTTTCCTATAGGTATTCTCTCCCACACTCAGTTTTACAGGTAGACGGCGTGAAAAAGTGGGAAAAAATTTATAAGTGCGGTGACCTTTCTAAGTGTAACCTGGAACTCGAGTCTTGGAAGGACATTCGAATTCCTTCCTGGATCTATCAGTTCGAGTATGCCAGGAAATGAACTAAGTAGAAAAATATGACAGATGTGACCTAGATAACACTCGATTGTGATTCTCACCCATATGGCAATCAATCTAAACCTCCGAAACCATCCCGAGACCGAGATCCACACTGCTAGCTAAAGACCGACAGACCTATTTCAAATCCGATATACGATGCATCAGCAGGAGAGAAGTACTACCATCGTACGTATCGGACTAGAAAAAGATTCGAAAAGACGAATATGATTCGATAAGAAAACAACACATGCAGACAAGGAACAGGACAATAAGAAGTTAGAGAGGAAAAAGAAAAAGAGAAAAGATAACCAGATTCCCTTCCCCATTTCCCAGGATGCCGAAAGGAAAAAAAAAACATTCCAATCCAGATGGTTAGAAACAAGAAACAGAAACAAGAGTCGAGAAACAAAGCATTTGAACTCCGCTCCGGAAGTAGGGTTGCACGGGCCAGGAAATGATGTGACTGTTTTTTTATCGCATGTCGCACTGGGAGAGAGAGCCCGGGAGGAGTTGAGAATGAAGCTGTGATATTATCGGTGTGGGAGGAGGAATATCGGGCTGCCCTGGCTGCGGAGGGGTTCCTCGGTCGTTCATCGTTTTCGTGGATCCGGGGGGAGGACTCGCGGGGATTGTAGGGAGAATGTCGTGAGGGCGCTGTTAAAGAGATTTGTGAAACGCTTATCTCCGCCCGAACCTGCTGCACATGGGGAAGCTCGTATTGATTCTTTTATTTCTTCTTTTGCTTTCGCGGAGTGACGGGACCGCCGGCGCTCATGCCACCGTAAACGTACTTTTGCTTTTTCTCGGCTGGTTTCAGGATCTATCAAAAGAAGAAGAAAACATAGGTTAGGAACTGATAATAAAAAAAAAGATCTTGGGGATGAAAATTGCAATAACTCACCTGGAAGGAACAGAGCAGACTCTCGTCTACGCTCATCATTGCACCGGCATTATCGAATTCACCACAGTAGTTGGGCGCACTGAATAGTGTAACTAGCTGGCGCTTGGAGAAGAATTCGTATCCATCCTCAACAACTTGGTGTGCACGGCAGATTAGATCCATATCGTGTTTTTGAAGGAAGCGCGAAACCACATCGGGGCCGAATGTGAATGAGACACCTCGGTCGTTTTCGCTCCAGCCGGTGATATCCTTATCAGGGTCGGACCACAAGAGATCGCACAGGAGACCGCAGTCGGGGATCTATTTCAGTCAGCGATGTTGGCCTTTAGCCGCGAACCCG